CTTGGCCTCTTAAAGTGCTGGGATTACAGGCCACTGAGCCTGGACAAGTTTTATGAAATTTTATCACATGCATAGATTCAAGTAACCATCCCCACAATAAGAATACAGAAGTATCCCATCACCACTAAGAAATTTCTTCCTGGGGCTGGGCATGGTGCCTCATGCTTGTAATGCCAGCACTTTGGGAGGCCGAAGCAGGTGGATCACTTGAGCTCAGGAATTTGAGACCAGCCTGGGCAACATGGTGAAACCCTATCTCTACAAAATATACAAAAATTAACTGAGCCCGGTGGCATGCTCCTGCAGTTCCAGCTATGTGAGAGGATTGGTTGAGCCTGGGAGGCGAAGGTTGCAGTGAGCTGAGATTGTGCCACTGCACTCCAGCCTGGGCAACAGAGCGAGACCCCATCTCAAAAAAAAAGAAAAGGAAATTCCTTCCTCTTACCCCTCAGTCACATCCTTCCTCCAGCCATAACTCTGGAACCACAGATCTATTCTCCCACTCTTGAATTTTGTCGCTTCAAGAATGTTATACAGGGTCAGGTATGGTGGCCTGTAATCCCAGCACTTTGGGAGCCCGAGGTAGGCAGATCACTTGAGGTCAAGAGTTTGAGACCAGCCTGGCCAACGTGGTAAAACCCTGTCTCTACTAAAAATACAAAAATTAGCCGGGCATGGTGGTGCATGCCTGTAATTCCAAGTACTCAGGAGGCTAGGGCATGAGAATTGCTTGAACCAGGGAGAGGCAGAGTTTGCAGTGAGGTGAGATCGTGCCACTGCACTCCAGCCTGGGTGACAGAGCAAGACTTCATCTCAAAAAAAAAAAAAAAAAAAAGAATGTTATATAAATGGAATCAGACTACATGTGTTTTTTTTTTTTTTTTTTTGACAGTCTCACTATGTCACCTAGGAGTGCAGTGGCACAATCTCAGCTCACTGCAGGCTCCGCCTCCTAGGTTCAAGTGATTCTTCTGCCTCAGCCTCAGCCTGTAGCTGCTTCAGTCCCAGCCTGTAGCTGGGACTACAGGTGCATGCCACCACACCCAGTTAATTTTTTGTTTTTTTTAGTAGAGACGGGGTTTCACCATGTTGGCCAGGATGGTCTCGATCTCCTGACCTTGTGATCTGCCCGCCTCGGCCTCCCAAAGTGCTGGGATTACAGTTGTGAGCTACTGTGCCTGGCCAGTATGTGACCTTTTGAGATTGGCTTTTTACGCTCAGCAAAAAGCCCTGAGCCCCATCCACGTTGTTGCATGGATAGATAGCTCATTGCCTTTTATTGCTGTTACTTCATTGAATGGATATACCATAATGTGTTTTTCTGTTCACTTGTTGTGGGACATTTGGCCTGTTTCCAATTTTTGACGTGACAGTTAATTTTATGTGTCAACTTGACTGGGCTATGGGGTGCCCTGAGAGTTGATTCTGGGTGTTTCTGTGAGGGCGATTTTGGGTGAGTTTAACATCTAAGTCAATAGAATGAATAAAGCTGACTGCCCTCCCTAAGGTGGGTGGGCCTCATCCAATCAGTTGAAGGCCTGAATAGAACAAAAAGACTCTTTTCCCTGAATAACAGAGAATCCCTCCTGCCTGACTGCCTTTGAGCTGAGACATCAGTTTTTTTCCTGCCTTTGGACTGGAACCAAAACACCTGCTCTTCCTGGGTATCCAGCCTGCTGGCCTTTGCACTGGAATGACAGTATTCATCTCCTTAGTCTTCAACTTGCTGACTGCACATCTTAGGATTTATCAACCTCTTAATCATGTGAGTCAATTCTTTATAATGTATATATGATAAATATATGTGATTTATTATATACATATTGTTTATCTCTATAGATCAATATATATGATTTCCTATGCATATGTATTTTTTTTTTGAGAGAGGGTTTTGCTCTGTCAGCGAGGCTTGAGTACAATCGTGTGATTATGGCTTACTGCAGCCTCGACCTCCTGGGCTCAAGCAATGCTCCCACCTCAGTTTTCTGAGTAGCTGGGACCACAGGTGTGCACTACCACACCTGGATACTTTTTTTTTTTTTGAGATAGGGTCTCACTTTGTCACCCAAGCTGGAGTGCAGTGGTGTGATCTTGGCTCAATGCAACCTCCACCTGCTGGGTTCAAGCAATTCTCCAGCATTAGCCTCCTGAGTAGCTGGGACCACAGGCATGTGCCACCATGCCTGGCTAATTTTTGTATTTTTTGTAGAGACAGAGTTTCACCCTGTTGCCCAGGCTGGTCTTGATCTTCTGAGCTCAAAGAGATCTGCTGCCTCAGCCTTCCAAAGTGCGAGGATTACAGGCATGAGCCACTGTGCCTGGCTCACACCTGCCTAATTAAAAAAAAATTTTTTTTTTGTAGAGACAGGGCCTCACTATGTTTCTCAGGTGGTCTCCAACTCCTGGACTCAAATGATCCTCCTGGCTTGGCTTCCCAAAGTGTTCGGTTTACAGGCATGAGCCACCATGCCTGGCCATGATTTATTATGGATATATAGATCCTATTGTTTCTATTTCATTGGAGAACCCTGAGAGAGAGAGATAGATATATGTGTGTATAGATATATAGCTTCTTATATATATGATTTATACATATGATTTATTTTTTATATATATTATATATAGTATATATATTTTATATATATTATATATAGTATATAATATTTATATATATATCTCTCTTAGGATTTATCAACCTCTTAATCATGTGAGTCAATTCTTTATAATGTATATATTTCTAATGTATACATGTATAATGTATATTTATAGTATACTATAAATATACATTATATTTATAGTATACTATAAATATATATACTATATATATTTAATATATATAATATATATATAAAATATATATAGTATATATATATAGTGTGTGTGTATATATATATATATATATATATATATATATATATATATCTTTTATTGGCCCTATCTCTTTGGAGGATCCTGATTGATACATGACTACTACAAACAAAGCTGTTATAATAATTTATGTACAATATTTTATATGAATAGAAATTGTTTTTCTCTGGGATAAATACCCAGGAGGGTGATTGCTTGGTCTTACGGTAAATGTATGTTTAACTTTATAAGAAACTGCCAAACTGTTTTCTAGCATGGCAGTACCATTTTACATCCACTCCTCATGTTAATTATTTGTTATATAAGTTAAATTTGTGAAATTCAGCATGGGCTGACATTTGAAGGCTGGTCATACTTGAATTATAATCACCACCATGACACATCCTTGTTTTAGCTTTCACATATATAAACCAAGCCCAGAGGTCTGAAGGTTTACAGATTTGAAATAACAAACCAGGCCGCCTGAGATTTTCTTGGCTGGAACCAGGTCTTGCCAGGCCTTTGAATCAGCTGGGTGCAGGGAAGGGTCACCAGGAAACTCAGGCTGCCTGGACCGACAGGAAGCGTGGGACGAAGCTTACTCCGGGTCTGGCTCGTGGTCAGCCTGGCTGGGGCCTGAGGCTTCCAGTCTGGCTCAGTGTGCAGTCAGGAAACAGCCTGGGCTCTTGAAATCACCCCACCCCTGAAAAATGAATTCACAAACAGAGACACTCCAGGCTCCTTTCTTTGAGAAATAGCATCTTTTAGCCAGGAATAAGATCAATATACAGAGCTCCTATGACTCCGTTCCTCAGGCTCTGCACACCTCTGTGTCAGTGGCAAGTGGCTTTGGGACTTCTTTTCCAGAAGAAGACTGCTATGGAGTTTTCTTTCAATTTTTAATTAACTTTTCGTTGTTGTTTTAGAGATGAGAGAGTCTCACTATGTTGTCAAGGCTGGTCTTGAACTCCTGGCCTCAAGCAATCCTCCTGCCTCAGCCTCTCAGGTAGCTGGGATCACAAGCATGAATCATGGTGCCCAGCTCTAGAGTTGTTTACCGATGCTTAATATTATGACTTTCTCCTTTCCACCCTCCCTGCACCCCTCACTCCAAGTTAACATGTACAAATATATAGATAATATCTTTATATTTTATTTATATATTATATATCTTTATATTATATTTGTATATTATGTGTATCTTTATATTTTATATATATATATATATATATATATGCAACCTCCGCCTCCTGGGTTCAAGTGATTCCCCTGCCTCAGCCTCCCGAGTAGCTGGGACTACAGGATTACCTCGTGATCCTTCTGCCTTGGCCTCCCAGGGTGCTAAGATTACAGGCATGAGCCACTGTGCCCGGCCACATTTATATATATTTTATAGAGATGAGGTCTTACTATGTTGCCCAGCTTGGTCTTGAACTCCTGGCCTCAAGTGATCCTCCCACCTTGGCCTCCCAAAATCCTAGGATAACAGGTGCAAGCCACCACACCTGGCCCATGTTTTTAATCTTGTCTATGTATCCATATTACCTAACACTGTAAGTTTTTTTAACATACTGCATTTGGGTGCTGTTTTGATAAATAGATTCAATTCGACATCACAATGATATGGACCTTTCTAGTTTTACATTATCTCACCTGAGGCAGGTGAACTGCTAACTCCATTTTATTCAGAATTTCCCAGAGCTAGAACCTACAGATTCATAGCTTTTTTGTTTGTTTGTTTGTTTGTTTGTTTGTTTTGAGATGAGTCTTGCTCTGTTACCCAGGCTGAAGTGCAGTGGCACCATCTCAGCTCACTGCAACCTCCACCTCTTGGGTTCAAGCAATTCTCCTGCCTCAGCCTCCTGAGTAGCTGGGATTACAGACACCTGCCACCATTCCCAGGTAATTTTTATATTTTTAGTAGAGATGGGGTTTCACCATGTTGGCCAGGCTGATCTTGAACTCCTGACCTCAGGTGATCCACCTGCCTCGGCCTCCCAAAGTGCTGGGATTACAGGGTTGAGTCATCTTGCCTGGCCCACCTGCCTTCCCTCCCTCCCTCCCTCCCTCCCTCCCTTCCTTCCTTCCTTCTTTCCTTCTCTCTTTCCCTCTCTCTCTCTCTTTCTCTTTCTTTCTCTCTTAGCAGAGTCTTACTCTGTTGCCCAGGTTGGAGTGCACCGGCATGATAAAGGCTCATTGCAGCTTTGATTTCCCAGGCTCAAGCAATCCTCCCACCTCATCCTCCCAAAGTGCAGGGATTACAGGTGTGAGCCACTGCACCTGACCTCATATTTGTATTTACAAATATTTTAGACATTTGAAATATTACAGTATTCAGATCTACTTACAAAATGAATGAAAATGACTGTGTATCAAGATACTAACATGATTTTGTGACATGACTATAGCAGTCTTATAAGTAAATTCGGAGTAGTTTAGCAGATCTAAAATTTGTAGTAACATTTAGGCTAGGTGCAGTGACTCACGACTCACGACTGTAATTTAGTACTTGCAGAGGCCTAGGCGGGTGGATCACTTGAGGCCAGGAGTTCAAGACTGGCCTGGCCACATGGTGAAATCTTGTCTCTACTGAAAAAAAAAAAAAAAAAAAAAAATTATCCAGGCATGGTGGTGCATGCCTGTAGTCCCAACTACTCAGGAGGCTGAGTCTTGAGAATCACTTGAACCCAGGAGGCAGAGGCTGCAGTGAGCCAAGATCATGCCACTGCATTCCAGCCTCGGTGACAGAGCAACACTGTCTGAAAAATAAAAAACAAAATGCAGAGGAACATTTTAAACCATCACATGTCACTCTGAAGCTTGCTTGTTTCTTAAAATTAAACATTTGCTTGGTTGTAGGAGAAAGTAGCAAACATTCTAGGTGACCACACTGCAGCCTATGAAAGTGGATTTCTGACACTGGGCTCCAGCTTCATTTCCTCAGGGTCTTTGTAGGAGGGCAAGCATTTGAACAGCGTCCAGGTCACACTCCCATTATGCTGTCCTGAACCTCCTCCTAGGGGCAAATGGTGGAAGTGATATAGAAATGGACAGAGCAGGCCACAAACTTTAACATAAGATCCTCTGTGTGTGTGTGTGTGTGTGTGTGTGTGTGTGTGTGTGTGTGTATTTTAATTGAAGTATAATTGATGTGCCATAAAACTGACTCTTGTAAAGTGTACAATTCAGTACTTTAGCTGCATTCACAGCTATGCAACTATCACCACTATCATTTCAGAAGATTTCTTCGCTCCCTGAAAGAAACTCCGTATCCATTGGTGGTCACTCCCCATGATCCCTTCTCAGCCCTAGGCACCCACTCATTTACTCTCTGTGTCTATGGCCTTGCCTACTCTGCACATTTTGTACACCTGGAATCATATACTCTGCTGTCCTTTGTGTCTAGCTTATTTCACTTAGTGTGTTGTCAAGGTTGTAGCATGGATCAATACTGCCAAGAAACATTCCAATGTATGGAGATACCACATTTTGCTTATCCATTTGTCAGTTGAAGAGCTTTTGGGTTCTATTCACTTTTTGGCTTTTATAAATAATGCTGCCATGAACGTTTGTGTACAAATTTTTGTGTAAACATATGTTTGCAATTCTCTTGGGTGTATAGCCAGAAGTGGAATTGCTGGGTCATAGGGTGATACAGCACAACTCTGTGTTTAAGATTTTGAGTGGCGGGGGGCGGTGGCTCATGCCTGTAATCCGAGCATTTTGGGAGGCTGGGACAAGTGAATTACCTGAGGTCAGGAGTTCAAGACCAGCCTGGCTGACCTAGTGAAACCCCATCTCTACTAAAAATACATAAATTAGCGGTGACGCATGCCTGTAATCCTAGCTATTCGGGAGGCTAGGGCAGGACAATTGCTTGAACCCGGGAGGTAGAGATTGTGCTGAGCTGAGACCACACCACTGCACTCCAGCCTGCACTTTTTGAGACTCTGTCACCAAAAAAAAAAAAGGATTTTGAGAAAGCCATCAACATGGAGAAACCCAGTCTTCACAAAAAAAAGTGGGTTGGGGGAGGGAGCGCACAACTTGCGCGCACCCTCTCCCTCGTCCACCGCTGCCGCCTCCTTCTTCTGCGCTGCTGGTGCTGCTTGTGTGCTCCAGGACCTGGTACCTCTTTTGTGAAGAGGCAGCTGAGGAGACTCCGGCGCTCGCCATGGCCGACGAAAAGCCCAAGAAAGGAGTCAAGACTGAGAACAACGATCATATTAATTTGAAAGTGGCGGGGCAGGATGGTTCTGTGGTGCAGTTTAAGATTAAGAGGCACACACCACTTAGTAAACTAATGAAAGCCTGTTGTGAAGGTCAGGGATTGTCAACGAGGCAGATCAGATTCCGATTTGTTGGGCAACCAATCAATGAAACAGACACACCTGCACAGTTGGAAATGGAGGATGAAGATACAATTGATGTGTTCCAACAGCAGACTTTTTTTTTTTTTTTTCCCCGAGACGGAGTTTCCCTCTTGTTACCCAAGCTGGAGTGCAATGGCGCGATCTCGGCTCACCGCAACCTCCGCCTCCTGGGTTTAAGCAGTTCTCCTGCCTCAGCCTCCTGAGTAGCTGGGATTACAGGCATGCGCCACCATGCCCAGCTAATTTTTTTTTTTAGTAGAGACGAGGTTTCACCATGTTGACCAGGATGGTCTCGATCTCTTGACCTCGTGATCCACTCGCCTCGGCCTCCCAAAGTGCTGGGATTATAGGCGTGAGCCACCGCGCCCGGCCGGGAACCCTGCTTCTTTACTTCAGAACTCTGTTCTTTAAAGACCAAGATTACATTCTCAATTAGAAAACTGCAATTTGGTTCCACCACATCCTGACTACTACAGCATAGTTTCTCTATTCTTTCATTTTCCCCTTCCCCATTTCTTTATTGTACATAAAGTAAGTGGTATATGTGCACAAGCATAGTATTTTTTTGTTTTTTAACAGCCAATGGTATGTTTTGATTGATATCAAGTGGAGACGGGATGGGGAAAAATACTGATTCTGTGAAAATACCCCCTTTCTCTATTAGTGGCATGCTCATTCAGCTCTTATCTTTATATTCCAATAAGTTATTTTGCTCTCACTGTTTTAACAAAAAAACAACATAAAAATCTTTGCATACCTTGTTTGATTGGAGACTTTTAATGTTTTTCATTTATCATTGTAAAACCAAGGACAATTTTATAACTTTTTTGTGCGTAGCTGTTACATGTAGGGCAATCTGTCTTTAAGTAGGGATAAATTACTCTAAAACAAAATAAAAAAAGAATCCTAGATAGTTTTCCCTTCAAGTCAAGCGTCTCGTTGTTTAAATAAACTTCTTTTAAAAAAAAAAAAAAAAAAAAGTAGCAAGGTGTGGTGGAGCATGCCTGGAGTCTCAACTACTCAGGAGCCTGAGGTGGGAGGATTGCTTGCGCCTAGGAGGCAGAGATTGCAGTGAGCTGAGATCACACCACTGCACTCCACCCTGGGTGACAAGAGTAAGACTCAGTGTCAAAAACACAAAACAAATAATTCAGCATGCTTTCATATTTGTTTTTGAAATTTATCCATAATGATATATATTGCTCTCATTCTTTTTCTTTTCAACTGTATGCAATTTGTTTAGCCTTGTGTTCATGAATATTTGAATTGTTTGCAGTTTTTTGCTACTACAGACAGAGTTGCAATGGGCATTGTTGTTTATTCCATTTCGGGCAAGTGTGTGAGCTTATGGTGTCTATCCAGAAGCAGAACTGGTGGATGGAAGGATTTGTTCACCACTGATTTTACTAGAGATGGCCAAATTGTTCTTCAAAGTGACTGTACTAATTTATACGCTTGGCAGCAGTATGTGAGTTCCCATTTCTGCATGTCCTTGCCAACACTTGCTATTGTCAGTCCTTCAAGTTCTTGCCAACCTGAAGGATGTAAAGTGGTCTTTCACGGTTGTTTTAATTTTCCTTTCCCTGTTAATGAGTTTGGAGGTTCTTTTCACATGCCCTCGACCATTCTGTGAGTTTCCTTTTAATATCCTTTGCCCATTTTCCACTTGGGTTGTTTTTTATTTTCTTCTTGATTTTACAGGAGTTTAAAAAAACATTTTCTGAAAATGAATCTTAAAGTCTGTGGCTTTATTTTCACTGTTGTTATGGTTTTTAGATTTTCCTTCTGTTTTCTTTCTTTCTATTGGTAAGAACTTTCTAAAAGAATTTCATAGTATATCCTTTTTGTGTCTTATTGGAGAAATTCTTTTCTACTCTGCTATAAAGAAAATCCCTTATAAATTTTTTCTAACCGTTTTGGAGTTTTGTCTTCAATTCACCTATAATTTATTTTTGTGTATGCTATGAAGTAAAGATCAAACTATTTTCTCCCATTTGGATAACTAATTAAGCCAGCATCACTATCTTTATTTCACTACTTTGAAATGTATTCTCTGCCATATATTGTTTTCAGCTAGCATGGGTCATTTTCTGGCTATATTTTGTTCCACAGGGTTCTTTGTTTCTCCCTGCACAAATACTATACTTTTTTTTTGACACAGGGTCTAGCTGTGTTGCCCAGTCTGGAGTGCAATGGCGCCATCATGGCTTACTGCAGCCTCTGCAGACCTCTCAGCTTAAGCAGTCCTTCTACTTCAGCCTTAGCCTCAGCCTCCCAAGTAGCTGGGATAACAGGTACACACCACCACGCCTGGCTAATTTGTTTTAGTAGAGACAGGGTTTCACCACATTGGCCAGGCTGGTCTCAAACTCCTGGCCTCAAGTGATTTGCTGAACTCGGCCTCCCAAAGTGCTAGGATGACAGGCATGACCCACTGCACCCAGCTGGATTTATTCTTAAGCATTTTATGACTTTTGTTGCTATTGTAAATGGGATTTTTTGTTTTTGTTTTTGAGGTGGAGTCTCACTCTGTTGGCCAGGCTGGAGTGTAGTGGTGTGATCTCTGCTCGCTGCAACCTCTGCCTCCCAGGTTCAAGTGATTCTCCTGCTTCAGCCTCCCAAGTAGCTGGGATTACAGGCACACACCACCACATCCAGTTAATTTTCATAGTTTTAGTAGAGACTGGGTTTTGCCAAGTTGGCCAGGCTGGTCTCAAACTCCTGACCTCAGGTGATCCTCCTGCCTTGGCCTCCCAAAGTGTTGTGAAACAGGTGTGAGCTACTGTTCCTGGCTGTGAATTTGTTCCTAATTGGTTATTCCAGTGGGTAGAAATGCTATTCGGTGTTTTATTTTTCTATTATATCCAGATACCATTCTGAACTCCTTTAAAATGTGTATTTTGTCCAAAGAGTCTCTTGGAGATTTCCATATCACATCATGTGCAAATAAATGTTGTTTGTTTCTTCCTCCCTTATTTTTATGCCTCTTGTTTTATTTTTTACATTTATTAAAAAAAAATTTTTTTAATAAAAATAGAGATGGGGTCTCACTGTGTTGCCCAGGATGATCTCAAACTCTTGGGCTCAAGCGGTCCAGTCCTTCTGTCTCTGCTTCCCAATGTGCTAGGATTACAGACATGAGCCATAGAGCCTGCCTATTTTTTTATTTTTTTATTTTTTTGGTCTTTATTGCATTGCCTAGGCCCTCCAATGTTCTGTTATTTATTTATTCATTTGAGATGGAATCTTGCACTATTGCCCAGGCTGTAGTGTAGTGGCGTGATTTCCGCTTACTGCAATCTCTGCCTCCTGGATTCAAGCAATTCTCCTGCCTCAGCCTCCCATATAGCTGGGACTACAGATGTGCACCACCACCCCCAGCTGATTTTTTTTGTATTTTTAGTACAGACGGGGTAGGATAGTTTTGATCTCCTGACCTCATGATCCACCCGCTTTGGCCTCCCAAAGTGCTGGGATTACAGGTGTGAGCCACTGTGCCTGGCCTATTTATTTATTTTTATTTATTTTTGAGACAGAGTCTTGGTCTGTCGCCCAGGCTGGAGTTCAGTGGCATAATTTCGGCTCACTGCAAACTCTGCCTCCCGGGTTCAAGCAATTCTGCTGCCCTGCCCTCCTGAGTAGCTGAGATTGCAGACACCTGCCACCACACCTGGCTAATTTTTGTTTTAGTAGAGACAAGGCTTCACCATGTTAATCAGGCTGGTCTCAAACTGCTGACCTCAAGTGATCCTCTCACCTTAGCCTTCCAAAGTGCTGAGATTACAGGTGTGAACCACCACGCTGGGCCTGGCCCTCAAGTGTTAAATAGAAATGGTAACAATGGGTTTTCATTCTTTGTTTCTGATCTTAAAGAGAAGACGTCCACATTTCCATTATTATTTCTCCTGTGTGTTTTGATAGAAAATGTTCATCATGTTAAGGAAGTTGGCAGCTAGTCTAGTTTCCTGTGAATTTGTTATTAATGTTATTTATGAATGTTGACTCTTATTGTGTGCTTTTTCTGCTTTTATTAAGATGATCCCACATCTTTCCTTCTTAATTATTCATTTTCTTTATTATGAAACATTTCAAAAACAGAAATAGAGAACAGTACAACAGTTTCAGTAAAAGTTGTCAGTTGCAGGCCATAGGAATCAATTCTATTGGTTTAGGTGGTAAAATGATTCATAAGGAGGAGAGTGGTCTCTGTCTGAATTACAGGGAAGACTGGTTCTCTGAACTGTGGATGCTGCTGCTTGCTCCTCCCACCTCTCCAGTACTGAATCCTAGAGACTGCCAGTAACACGGCTGCACCTGCTCCAGGAACTCTATCCTATGCCACTGGGGGTGGGGTTACTCATATTCCATTTGACTTAAGGCTGAGTGTTTTTATTTATGTATGTATTTATTTATTTATGTATTAATGTATTTATTTGTTTTTTGAGATGGCATCTCACTCTGTTGCCCAGGCTGGGGTACAGTGGCATGATCTTGGCTCACTGCAAACTTCGCCTCCCAGGTTCAAGCGATTCTCATGTGTCAGCCTCCTGAGTAGCTGGGATTACAGGCATGTGCCACCATGCTGGCCTAATTTTTGTATTTTTAGTAGAGATGGGATTTTACCATATTGGTCAGGCTGATCTCGAACTCCTAATCTTGTGATCCCCCTGCCTCAGCCTTGCAAAGTACTGGGATTACAGGTGTGAGCCACTGCACCCAGCCTATTTTTAAATTTTTAAAATTTTTATTTTTGAGACTGAGTCTTCCTCTGTCCCCCAGGCTGGAGTGCAATGGCGTGATCTTGGCTCACTGCAACCTCTGCCTCCTGGGTTCAAGCGATTCTCCTGCCTCAGCCTCCCAAAGTGCTGGAATTACAGGTGTGAGCCACCATATCTGGCAATGGGCTGAGTGTTTTTGTATGGCTGAGCCCAGGTCATGTGCTTGTACCCTATACATATAGGAAGAAGGTTCAGATATTGTGTGGCCAAAAGGAACAACATTCGTCTTTCCTTCCTTGCCTATTGGATCAGTGGCATGAAGATCCCCAGATGGCTTGAGTGAAGCCTTAGCCTTCCAGTTTATCAGAACCATGACCATGGTAGTATATTCCCCTGGTAGAAACACTCCCCACCTTAGGCACTAGAATATTCAAACTCCCAAATCTAAGGTCATAGGGATGGGCAGCAAGAGTTCTTTAAGTGTGTTCTTAGATGTAAGAGTGAGAGTAGCTACTCTCCACCCTCTGTTTCCTAGATATACACTTTCTAGTTTTGAAGGAAACAACTCCAAATGTTAGCAGCTTTTAAAAGATGTAACTGCATCCTGTAGGCCAACACTTTAAGCCCACAGGGTGTCGTCTCCAGGCTAACCCTGTAAATGAACTTTCAGCAGCCATTCCACAGCCCTCTAAGCCTGCTGCTTCTGGGTGGTGGAACTTGAACTTTAGGTCTCTATGACGTCAAGTCTGAGTTAGCCATTGTAGATTATTCATGTCAACTCCAAAGCCCAAACCTGGGTGAGTATATCAGTGAATTCAGTCCAATCAAGCCATTCATTTATTCATTCATTCATTTATTTATTTATTTCAGAGTCTCACTCTTTTTTTTTTTTTGAGACGGAGTTTCGCTGTTGTTACCCAGACTGAGTCTCACTCTTTCACTCAGGCTGGAGTGTAGTGGTACGATCTTGGCTCACTACAACCTCAGCCTCCTGGGTTCAAGCAATTCTTCTGCCTCAGCTTCCCGAGTAGCTGTGACTACAGGCACTCACCACCACACTCAGCTAATTTTTTGTATTTTTAGTAGAAACCGGTTTCACTGTGTTGGCCAGGCTGGTCTCAAACTCCTAACCTCAGGTGATCCTCCCGCCTCAGCCTCCCAATGTGCTGGGATTATAGGTGCAAGCCACGGCGCTCAGCCAAGCCTTGTATTTTACCATGTTTAGGCTAACATGATGCTT